CCAGTACGCTCACCATATGACAGATTGATAAGATCTGGGCCAAAGACCTAGTGGACATTGTTGGAAGATACTTGTAAAAGGATGAAAGAGTTAGAGTAGTAAGATGTGGGGTAGTAAAAGAAAATATAATATAATATAGAAAAATGTCTTATTTGTTGGACATAGTCGCATATAGGAAGAAGTAAGATATACTAACGTGAATTGGTTGCTTATTAAAGTTTAAGGGTCATAGTACAGCCATGTGCCAAAAGTCAAGAATCACCTTGCAGAAGAATTGCCATAATGGTAAAAAAGATATTAAAAAAAAAAAAAAAAAAACCTTAATATATATACGCACCACAGTTGTCATATGACACCATCATGAGTGTCCGTCATCAAAGGAAACCCGTGAAGTTGGAATAAGAAGACCCCTATGGTCTCAATAGTATATTTATTTTTTTTTTACTTTTCTTATATAGATCTCTTTTAATTCCTATAAATTATTCTTTTATCTCATAATAGTCAACCCACTCCTCCCAGTCAAAATCTAAATCCATAACCTTTTCTGTTCTGGCAACAACCACTTCAGGAATAACTGCCTTTTTCTTTTTATCTCTTAGACTATAAATATACAAAGTTACAAAAAAAAAAAAAAAAAAAGTTTATTAATTTATCTACCTTTCTTTATCTTCAGAATCTCGTATGGTTATGGAATCATCACATTTAATCTCCATAATATCCTCTTTCATCTCTTCAAAGTCAATTCCTATCTCCTTTAAATTTTTCTTATATGTCTCATCTCTATTTAATTATATATTATAAAATTCTATTACAAAAATCAAAAAAAAAAAAAAAAAAACTTATATCAACATCTCTTGCACCTTACGTTGATAAAAAATTCGATCACTTATCAATACCTGTCTCTGTTTTTCCAAATTAGCTCATTTTTTCTCCCACTCTTGCTTTCTTTGCTGCCACTCTAACTTCTCTTTTTCTAACACCTTTAATTGATCTGTCTTTCTTCTCATCTTATCTTTTTCTCCATCTAACTCCTTCATCAACTGATCTTTATCTTTCTTCATTTTGTCTCTTTCACTACAAACTTCATTCAACTTACCCTGCAAATAAAAAGCTTTTCTCCACTTTAAAAAATTGGCATTCAACTCTTGCTCTAATTCTTCTCTTCTCTTGACCTTACTTGACAACTCTTCATACTTCTTCTTCCATTTACCATCTCTTCTACTTACTACTGGTGGTTCTCTTGTTTCTTTCTGTTCTCGCAACAATCTATCTATTGTATTTCCAAGTTCTACATTACTCTCCTGATATAGTATCTGCCACCGATCCTTATGAATCTTCATATTTTTGACCTTCTGCTCCAAATCTGCATTTTTCTCTTCTAAATGATTAATCCACACCCTTTCTCTAAAAATATAAATTAATTATTATTAATATTATTAATATTTCTATATTATTAAAAATTTTTATTACCAATTTTTTTCCGACTCTTCTCTACAAATTATAAAATTATTATTATTCAACTTTATTTTTTGCTTTATTTTTACTTTTATTTTATTATTAATTTATTACCTCTGCTTCTCAATCTCCTCTTTGGACCGATATTTCTTTTTGTTCAAGTTTTTGTAATGGTGAACCATCTTGTTAAAATTTTTGTTCTAAATTCTCAAAAAAATTTGATTACCTCTTAAAAACCTTATTTAAATCACATGAGCAAACCTTAATTTATTGGACAATTTTATCGAAAAAGTTAGTTTATAAACTGTACAACAAACAAATTTTATTATTATACCTATTATAGTAAAATAGTAAAAGCGTATGACTGTTGCCAGCAGTTGTAGGTTCGATACCAGCTGGTGGACGGTAAACTCTGCCTTCTAGAGGCTACAATTACATGCCAGCCTGTAGTAATTTTTATAAAATTTTTACAAAATTTTAGTTAGTAATAATATTGTATTATTTCTATTATTATCTCTTTAAAAAGATTTTTCACCGGAGCTCAAAAATCAGGAGGGAAAAATGTTAACCCCTGTAATTAGCATCATGTGATAATTGCCTACAATATAATACCAATACAAGGAATACTGCAATAGTACTAGCACTAGTAGCACTAATACTTCATTTAAAATTAGTGGTTCTTGTAATTTTGTAGTTTATAAAAATAGTAACAAAGATCGAAAGTCTAAAAGTATAAATAGCCTTAAATATTTCTCATGTAAGAAGAGAACTCAAAGTTCTAACAACCTCACAATAATAATAAAGAAGTAATTGTGTTTTCATACACAAACAACTCATATGTCGAACATTTATATAATTGTACTGGTATTAATTTATTAGTTCTGATCTATATAGAGGAGTTCAGATTTGCAGGTGTTATAGTCTGGAAAAGACTTTTAATCTTAGTTGCCAAATTTAGCTTAAACTGTAAATATGCAAAAATAGTCACAGGTAGAATTATAAATATTTTTTAAAAGTATTATATTAGAATATTTTTATAAAGAATAGTAAATTATTCTTAAAGTTTTTTAACAATAATTATAATCAAAAAAATTAATGGAATACTATTAAAAAACTTTGTATTTACTATCAATTCAAAATATGAATATATATAAAAAGTTTTTAAAAGACAAATAGAAAATATTTAGAAAACCAATAAAAAACCCAGATTCTTGTCCATAGAAATATTTAATACCAGGGTTATATAATACAGAGAAGATCAGTATTATTCATAATAATTAGAAATTAAATTTACTTAAAGTTTATTATAATGCAATGTGAAAAATATATAAATTGAAATTTGATCACTACACAATTGATCTTTTATATTATTTTTTTGTGCAAATTTGTATCTAACAAGTAACTTGTGTGGTGTTGTGTACAAGTAGAATATATGTACAGAAAATAAAGTAAATGCAAATTATAAACATTTAATGAACTTTTAGCAGGCATTAATTAATTTCACGTTATTTTACTTTTTTTTATACAAATACACAAACATGCAATAATATTTAAATATCTTTGTTCAAAATACCAACTGATAAGTGACAAGCTCTTATCTTGGAAAATTGGCAACAACATCAAAAGAATAAAAATACTTGCAATATATTAATAAATTTGTTATCTAATCATACTCTGCCTATTTCAGCTTCTTCAACAAGTCAAAACTTTATAACATTCAATATACTGAATTATTATTCAGATTTAAATAATGATTGTAAAAATGAAACAGTTTTTTTTGACAATATGAATAAAACAAACTCTTTTGACAATATGAATGAAACAGATTTTTTAGATGATAAAAATAAAATAATTTTGATGCTGTACAGATAAATCAACTTTAAAAAAATAATATAAATATAGCAGAATCATCTTCGATAGAAAGTTTTGCACTATCTCAAGAATGTTTTAAAGTATTAAATATAATTTATTGCTTTAAATATTTAAAAAATTTTTGTTTTAATTAATATCAATAAACAGCCAGCAACAAATAGGAATTCATATCACAAATTAAACAAATTACTATTAATGCAACCAGATAATTTGCTAATAGATAATTTTGATCAAAATAAATTTGATAGTAATTCAGATCAAAGTGAGCATAATACTAATTCTAATCGAACTGAAGATAATAATTCTGAACAAAGTGAACATGATATTAATCAAGATATTGATGAAAAAATTGATATTAATGAGAAAACTGATAATGATTGTGATAGAACTATGCTATTTTCATCACTATTAAATATTGATAATTTGGATATCTTCTCAGAACCATCATATAATCCAGTACAATTTTTATATAACTCTCTACTCTTGAAAAAAAACTACATAACACAATGGATTATTCTCTGATTATTTTTGTTTTAACAATTATTTATGACTACCAAGACCAAAATTATGATATTATTTGTTTTTTAGTCAAGTATTAGCAATTTTAGATGTATTTAAATTTCAAAATTTTCTAAGTAATCAGTATTACATTGAAAAAATAATTGCATAACCTGAATCGATTGTCAAATATATTGTATACTTATACTGTTATTCTCTTTACTTATCCACAGATTTGCTTCTAAAGACTTCAAAGCATACAAAATGTCTTATATGTAGAAAAGTTATAACAAAAAGTAATTAGAAGATCAAATAAAAAACTTAAATATAAAGTTAAATTACTCTATTTAAAGTTATTTTTAATTTTTTTTTAATTAATATTTTTACTTTTATATTATTAGCCTTTAATAATTTAACCTTACCAATCTATTATTACAAGAATTACATCAATATTAACAGATGCATCAAATAAAAAATTAATGGATTTATTATATAAATGACAAGTTGAAGATGGCATATTAGATAAAATTTACAACAGAAATTTGAAAATAAATTTTTAAATAAGAAAAGATATCTATTCTTTATAGGAAATAATATTGATATTAGAATTGGATTGGCACTTAATATTGATTGGTATACTCTATATAGTCAGATCAAACAAAGTTGTGTATCAATATATATAACGATTCTCAATTTTTTAAGATATATTAGATATCAAAATGAAAATTTTATTCTTGTTAGTATCATATCTAGCCCAAAGAAACCAAATACAAAGCAACTACAAAATTATCTTCAACCAATAGTTAATGAGCTAAAGCAACTTTGGAGCAGTCAAATATTCAAAACTACTTAATATCCTATCGAGTATATATTTTGCTGCATATTGGTTCAAATTACATATGATATACTAGCTATATGTAAGGTAATTATAATAACAATAATATTTTTACAATTAGAATAATAATAATTATAATAATATTATTTACCAAAAACTAAGCTCAATTTTATTAATTAATTACTTGGTTTTGTCAATTATTTATACTATTTATATAGATTACAAGACTAGCTTCATATTCTTCAAAACATGCTTGTAGCAAGTGCACTAGAGTTTTTTCATATTTTCTAGAAATTTCTAAACTTGATTATTCTAATTATTTATGTAGCTATAATAGTATTCTTATAATATGCTAAACAAATTTATGGTAAATACTTCTGTTCTCTTAATATATATTTATACAAACATCTATGCAAATATATGCTCGATTACAGGCTATATTATTCTTTTTGGTATTTTGCCTATGAACATTATCCCTTAAACTGTAGGCTTTTCCAGATAAATTTGTCTAGAAAATTATCATAAATATGGTTATGATCTATTTTTTTTAAATTTTAATATATTTAAATAAATTTTTTTT